TCTGTAGGTTTTATTAGCAGGTAAACATGCCATATCTTTCACCACTTTGCTCTATATCATATTTAGATAATCAGTTCTAGTATTGGGTCATTTGGTGATGGTTTTTTCTTTTTTTTTTTTTTTATTTTTCAACCGGACTGAAAATGATACAAATTGATATAACTTTCAATTTAACACGTTGCATAATATAATTATTAAAAAATTAATAATTTTTTAGTTCAAGATTAAAGGTAAATAAATTTAAAAATATAAGTATACATATAACATATAAGAATAAACTGAATTAATTATATTTATATTATATTTTAATTATTGAATCAAATAAGTGTAAAAAGATCTATCGAACTGAAAAGTATATTAATAATTTTCTGACTGAGATACAGATGGAGATGTATAGTAGGCGAGGCTTTTTTGGTCTACCAATCTGCATGGCAAAAACCTAATAATATTCATTTTCACACAATGCTTCAGCAAAGAGAGCACCAAGTGGATTTATATTGCCAATAAGGGATGTAAGAGCTAGCATTAGAGCTGGATTCATATATCCTTTAGTTGGTACAATGAGTACAATGCCAGGGCTTCCAACAAGGCCTTGCTTGTACGATATTGATCTTGACACACTGCCACATGGAAAGGTTAAACATGGATGAAGAAAATTAAATCTTGTTTTTCAATCTTGGGCGGACATTTTCCATCATTGTGGAGTCTAATAAAATAATAATTTAATAGTTTTTTCTCACTGCTTTAGGGCTAGTTTTATGCTGAGAATATATTCTCTCTGAAGAACTGCATATCTGCTGTCCCCTTAATGCACTTGTACAATGATTTATTTGTTCTTTGAGGGGAGAATTAGCTTACAGAAGTTCGATAATTGAAAATGGGTTGATGGGTCTAAGGAAAAAAAATCCTTTTATTCTGACCGAGCTGGCAGATAAAATTTTATTAATTGCTGATTGTTAGATCAAAGTTAGGGTTGCTTGTCTACCATATTTTTTTTCAAGGCATTTCATTAAAAGTTTTATTTTGTTTTGAATAAATTAATTTTAATTGACATTTAGTATAATTTAATAATCATATTCATGTGTTAAACTTTTTTTCAAAGTAGTTATTAAATAACAATATAATTTTTGTAATAGTAGAATACTTAAAATGTTGTCATGATGAATAGCCTGCTCCAACCTAATGGTATAACCCTGAGTTAGGGTCCCTAAATTAAGGTCGTTCACCTCTTGTGGGTGACATGTTCGAATTCACGGAACTCCTTTATCTTTTCCCTAATTAATATATATAAATAATTTCAATTTGTTAAAAAAAAAAATTGTCATGATAATATTTTTCAACAATTCCAAACACACCCTATTTAATGCGTTAGGCATGTTAGCAAACTTTTGGCTATTTTGGTTTTCCTAGGAGACTGATTAGTAGTGCCAAAGTTATTGATTATCAAGTATCAACCAAGGTTTAGAGGATTCTAATGAGATTGTTCAATGGTTAAGAACTTGAAACTTTTAATTGAAAATTTCAAGTTTGAGTCTTAAGTTGAATGTGAGG